GTCGAGAAACAACCTTACTGCTTGTAAATTATGACTGCGCACATCGTACACGTCAACGTTCGTTTCCATATGCGCGTGCGCGTCAACACTTGCCCCAAGCGTTGCATGTCCGTCAAAATAAACAGATATTCAACGGACACTTCCAAATATTTCATGCCAAGATATGCAATTTCGGGTTTGCTTTGAGGAGAATATTTCCTTTAATGACGTCTCTTCGTCTTTGAATTAGTTTAATTCATTTAGTCTGTTAACAGCAGGGCGAGGTGGGTGCTTTAAACTCAGCCGAACTTGGATTTAATTCCAAACCCTACAGAACATTCTGCCCAGTAACCATGCTTCTGAAACGGATATTGAACGCATTTCCTCCTTCCATTTGTTTTAAGAGCAACTTTTTGCGGTTTCAGTAGGTTTTCGGTTTGAACTGTCCCGCTTCTACTCCAAGTCTTATTCCGAAGGTCCCCAGTTTGTCCGACAAATCATAACTTTTTTCGCTTGTTCATCACCCGAATGAGTAACCTATGCCTTAATTATCGAAAATGTGCGTTAGATAAGCATACCGCATCAAGGAGTGTCTCGAAATTGAAGATGGCAGCTCCAAGGCCGCCATCTGTCGGTGAACTCTTCCCCCTTAATTGTTTGAAAATCATTATGATCTCAAAATGTCAAGAAATGTCATTTGGTCTTGGATACTGCAAATGCAATACCCCCCCCAAAAAAATACGATGAACCGGGCCCCATCTTAAAGGAATCCCTGCAGTGTTTTTTTTTCCCTAGATAAGCATGCTGCGTTTCTTTTAAGTACTTTAAATTTTGACATCCCTTTTGGGGGTTAACTATATTGAGAAAGTCCCAAAGTGTCCCTTTTAAAAATTAGTGCTGTGGATAAGATGTCACCTTTGGAAGACACTGCTCGTTTTGGGATTTAATTTTCCTTCAAATTGTGAACTGGGAATTTGCTCATGGGAAAAGGTTTTTGAGAAATGGTTGTCGATTGGCTGCGTGCCCTGTATTTTAATATCCAGCTGTAACATCACCAAAGAAAGGAAATGTCACTCCTGCAAAATTTCTGATATTTCGGTGACTTTTCTTACGAGGCATTGGCGCATTGTTGTGTTCTATCCTTCCCTAGTGATAGGTTCATTGCACTAGATGGTCGGGACCGATAACGCACACCATCTTGGCGTGGACCAAATCCACATCATGTAGGCCTACAGTGGGTTGGACGTGGTCGCGTCATTCTGAAGTGTGACAGTGTGCTGATTCAAATGCGCTTAATAAACTGTCCCCTACATTGCATTGCGGATAAATTTTGATTTCAAAGGTGACACTGGTGACTATTTGAGGATAAACCAGGATCTTCCAGTTGCCAGTGAAGACTGCGTTATTGTTGTCGTTGACGAGAAAGAGAAAAAAACTTCCACAACCTTGGCGTTTGACCGGACTACAAAGGGGGTAATGCAAAACCAAGCGGCGTTGGATATGTCGCTGGTAGTAATAGTCGTCTTTTCCGTTTTGCGCAACTGTCGGTTGACAGAGAGGCTCCCTTGGCAAGCTATGATCACTTCTGGCTGATCTTCCGCACTGCCATACGTGTACTGTAACGGCGCCGAGGAGTCTTCATTTCACGAGCAACATGCGCCGTGCAAGGTCTGGTGATTACACGGCGACGGAAGTCGCATTTGTCGAACAGCAAATGGTGACGAGGAGAGAACTACACACTCTCAAAAACGTCAACCATTAGGCCCTAGTTACTTTCATTTTCTTGCTGTTAGTCCTCCAGGGAAAAAAGTCAGTAAGGGCAAAACTGACCAACTGGGAGACAGGGAAATCCCCGGTCTTATACCATACCCCCACCCCGGTTGAGCTTTCTTTTCTGCGGCAACCTCGCGGGTTTCGAGTGAATCCTGGCCGCACACCCAAGCGGACGCTCATGTTGGAGCAGGAGGGTACAATTTGACCCATTTTTATTTTCAGGAGAGATAATTTAAGTCGGACTTTTGTCTGCGGGTGAGAGATGACATTTATCCACAGAATACGTCTGATGCCTATAAATTTCGTTTTATGTGGGATGAACTTCTTTTATTTAGGGAAGGGTGAGGTGGGAAGTGCCGATTTTGCCCTCTACTGATTACAAACCGAAACCAAACTGCGTGGGATGTTGGCCCGTAATCGGTCTGCAAAACGCCCCCTGAAACGTGCTTTCATTTCCACGTTGCTGAACAATGTCCGTTTTCCACGCTCATAAGCTTTGCGGATGCACATGTACACCAAGTGTGTGCTCCCACGTGGACGAAGATTGCCAACGTTCTTCTTGTTTATTCATGAAGTCTAAGCGACGAGACGATGCGAATGTCACTGCTCACTGTGCCCTTGTCAATTTATCTCAGGCCGCACGCAGGCAAAGTATTCTGTACTAATCCGTCGGTGCGTAGTGCAACTTGGTGTCGCCCTCAACCTTGATATCACTTTTCATCCAAGTCTCCTCGTTATCCCAACACAATGTGACTTTGTACATCACTGCCGTCGCAAACATGTCATTCACTAAGTACTAACAACTGCAGTGAGTTGTTGGAGAAAAATAGTACGTAGAAAAGCAATATCCAAAATTATGGAATGGGGGACCTCGGTTGCAAAGTAACTGTAACATAATAGGATTTTGTTCTAAACTGACGCCACAGTTTTGCTCTTGAAGATTTGAATTTGCATTTTATTTCAACGTGAAACCGGAAAGATGAAAATTGAAAAAAATGAGACCCAAAATACTGTATTCCCATAGGCTGTATTAAAAGAAACTGCTTCGCATGGAATCTTTCAGGCGCACCGGGGGATATCCAGTCACTGACGGTGAGAGGCAATCAAACCCTCATCAGACGTCAGAAACAAGGTTTAAATCTTCCCCCTCGATAAATCAGACCGAATGAATCGCCAGCCCACGACAGACATCCTCCTAAGAGGCCTCTGTATATTTTGAAGAGGGATTCCTTCAAGTCCAGGATCGGTGAAGAACGTCCCCCTTTCAGCCGTCATTCACTTTTCGGTGTTGTGATAAAACGTGCCTACCTTGCTGCCAATCGGTAACACCAACCAGCATATTACAAAATGGCTCTTCGATTTTTTTTTTTTCAATCCGGAATGAACACCCTATCAGAATTTCTGTCGACAATAAGTGCTTGACCTCTCGCTCTTTCAGGGCCTCTGGAAAGCGCCTTCAAACGGGACCCCCGGCCGTGACAATTGCGAAGCCAGTTTACCCGGCGATGGAAGTTGGTTAGTCCCGCAGCGAGCGAGGGGCTTTCCGCTGCGCAACGACCCGCGTAGCGAGTCAGGTCCGCATTCGTCAAACCCCGCGCGGTCGCTATGTCATCGCCGCGCGCGGTGAATTTCCTTGCCTGGCGTGCCTGTTGTGCGAGCCGTTTTTATCTGTGCGCGCTCTGATGCATGGTGTCGTATACGACGGTGCCTGACTGCCTGGAACTCGGCCATTCGGTTTGGCTCGTTATACGCCGAGGCATTATATTGCAGTCCTGATGGGTAAGGGGAAATCCTTGTTGGGAACCATGTTTTTTCTTCGGGAGCGAGGTGTATTTGTATGTGCCGGCTGCCTCCTCCGTTTGGTTGAGCAGAGACATGTCTTCGTTGTGATCGGCCGGATGCGGCGGGTTCACACTGAGCCAGAGCGAGAGACACTAGGGGCGAATAAGCCGCAGGGCTGGGCCAGAGTGGAGTGTGTGACTCAGTTCTCTGTTTAATATCGGGCTGGCACTTCCCTTCGGGGGAATCTTCAGGGAATTCGCCCCACCCCAAAGTGGAAAACATTATTATATCGCGGGGATTAATCGACAAGACAGATCGCTCCTAGTGCGGTTTTTATGCGTCGGGAAAGTTAAACCAAAAAAAAAAAAGAATTTGAATTAAAGCTTTTCATCTGGCGACCTCGTGTTTCTCTAAAGATGTACTCGAGACAGTATTTTTGTTGCGGGACTTTTTTTGTAAAGCTGGCTCTGCTGGCGGTTTTGGATTTTTTTTGAGCTGCGAGCCACGCGCGCTGCTGGATGGAAGACCTGCATAATTTGGTCATGGCGGGGACTAGACCACATTACCCTCAACTCACCACATGTTTCTGACATCTTTTCTTCCCGAACTAACAGCTCACAAGGTACCGAACTTATGTAAATTGCCCTCAAAACGTGCCAAACGACGATTATGAGGCTCGCAGGCGACCTTCTTACAAGGCTCAGTCGTGTTGATTAATATTATAAACGGGCCAGATGTGTATCAGTTCTCCCAGCACCGAAAAAAAAGCCCAGAGTCTCAAGTAACCGATCTAACCCGACAAGGTTGGCTATAATTAGCCTTGTGTCCCGTAGAGATGGCAAACCAGTAGAATGATTGGTCTGTATTCACACCACCGCCAACACCGCGCTCGGGTAGTGTCCCGTCTCGCGTTTACTGTAGGCCTAAAGCACGACGTTCGAAAGCTGAGAACAACCCAAAAAGAAAAACAAAATAGAATTATTTGGCACGTAGTTTTGGGGCTGGGACTTGGTTTATTTTCCCATCTATGCGTCCGGCCAGTCAGTCGTGTCAAGTCGGGATGATAAGTTGCTAAATGCTGCAACGCCAGCCCAAGATTTACGGTTGCGTATGGCGCATCAGTCACCGCGCGGCCGTGAATTAAGACACCGCTTTACATGCTATATACCCCTCTCATGTTTTTTAAGTGATTTACTGCCGACTGAATGAGTTCACATAGGACAGATTTTCACGTCGGACTTTTTTTTTTCTTCCGTCCCTCTCTGTTTTCTGATTCAGGGAAATTAACGGTCCAAGGATGCTGGGTTGGGTTTTTGTGCCTTTTCAGTTGGGACGCCGGGGGAACCCGGTGCCAATTAAAATTGGCCGTGTTTTACGGTCTTTTTTATGGGTGTGACCCGGGTGACTTGAGTTACAGTGCGTGCGTTGGTGAGGATGCGAGAGCACAGTTCGAAAAGGGGGGGGGGCACTGGTTGCGGTGACGGGGTGTTTGAAGCACTTGACGAAAGAGGCCGAAGGAAATATACCGTGTGACTGATGATTCGATGACGAGCGGCCTTGGATGGAGATTAGAGAGTCGGCGTTATTCCATCAACCCAAGCTGTCAGGGTGCCTGACGTCTCAACTTTGCCATCGCGGTGCCCGATCAGCCTACAGGGCCCTCTACGGGGATCAGTGATTTGCGCGCGGAAGGTCGCGCAAAACAAATTAATTATATCACTTTGTAAGAAAAAAAAACACTTCGGCAAAGGTTGTCACGAGTAACCCGAGACAAGAGGCTCGGTACTTTTTTTCCTCACGCTCTCTCTTTCTGCCCTCTGTGCCTTTCTTGAATGAAATGGGAGAATGTTTAACTTTTGATGGATGGCCCGATTGTGGAAGGGGGAAAACGAAACGATTTGAGGGCGAACAGCTGAACATATCACGGCGCGCGCCAGGGGTGCCGAGTGGTTCTGGAATTGCAGTAAAAAGGCCGATAAGTGGCTGATAATATACCCCAACAAGACATTGATTACCGACACGGTAAAATGTTACATCCACCGAACACGGAGAGACCTTGGGACCTCGCGCGAAGTTAGCTCCAGCCGCTGCCGGCCGGCCACGACTTGCCTGGCGAACTCCGTCTTCCTCCAGGCCCGGGCTCGGCACCGTCGGCTCCGCCCAGTTTGCTAAGATCCGCTCGGGCCTAACCTGCTGTGATTGGTGGAGACAACTGTATAAATAAGCCGTTAATTTGATTAGGAGCCAATGGGGAAACAGATCGGCCAATTAGCATGACTAACGACGAGAGTGACAGGTCGCGGATGTTGCTGTGCCCAGCCTAGCCTGCGCACACTCCTCCAGGGTCGACTGATTGTGTGATTGCCTCGTTAGCTGTAGCCGCGTCTACGTCTGATATACGGTCTGGCTCGCATGATCAGCCTCCCGTGTGCGTGTGATGACGAGGCACGCTTGCCGTCACTTCGTCACTTAAGTGAGCAACGGAGACGTACCACATGGTAATTCTGTGCTATGACTGGTGATGATGCCAGGTTCTGTCGCTGGACGATCGGATGGGCCCCTCTTGTGCATGATTATCTCATAACCGTCTCCCACCTCTACATTTGGATGAAAGTCCGGTATAAAAAGTCACCCCCAGGAACCGATCTTGGATAAATATAGGAGCCGTGATCTTAGCCGGTGAAGCTTTAGAAGACACTGGTCGCGATGGCTCTAGCCCCGGCATTAGGTAGCCATGGCGGAGTGTATATGCCTTACCAGCGGGTCTCCGCCGTTCGCTTGCAGCTCCAGCCTGTTCACCATCGGACCAACCAGAGACCTTACACGTCCTTCTTCATCAAAGATATCCTGGGCTCCAAAATCGGCGGGGTCGAGCCGGAACGGGACGCGACGACGCCCTGCGGCCCCGCGCCCGCCCCGCTTAGTCCGGCCTCCCCTTGGTCCGCTCCGGCGGGTGCCACCACAGGGTCCTCGCAGCCGTCTCCACCGAGTAAAGACGCCCATTTCCCCGTGCGCGACGCGGAGAAGACATTGGCTGCTCCTCCTTGCGGGATTATCAAGAAGGACGCCAACGGCTCACCCCTCTCCGCCTTGGAAGAACTTGCCAACAAGACGTTCACGGGACTCGAAACAAGCATTCTCAGAGCAGCTGAAGGTACGTTATGAGTTTTGTTTTGTTTTGTTTTGTTTTGTTTTGTTTTGTTTTGTTTTTTGCAGAGCATTGTAAGTAAATGGTAACATCTATACATTCATTATTAACACTGTAAGTTTGACTTACAGGACTAGGGGGCAATGCTTACACGCTGTTAACATTGTGTGATTAGATTTAGAATAGGCTTAGGACTACTTCAAAAGTAAAATTATACCTTGAAACGTGGTTGCCTCCTTCACCTGAGATCTACCTCAAGTTTGCGCTGTGAAAAATACTCGTCAAATGCGGTCTTGGTTACAGTTGTCACTAAATTATTCTATGAGGGAATGACGCATTTTATAGTCAAGGAAAGGCTGGATATTTGCAATACATTGGGAGTCGAGCGCGAAACGGTTAGCGCCCATTGCGTACTCACTGCTGCCGCCATCTTGAATAGGGAAAAGAGAGAATGGTGACCCCTCCGGCCCGTCCCTGTGGCTCAGTTATTCAGTTATCAGGTCAGGAATCCCGAGTCAGGACAAGGAAACCACATTGAAAACAGTGAGCCAGATTCTGGCAGATTTTGCGGTCACGCAATATTTTTTACAACAGCGCAAGCCCTGTTCAGTGGTACTGCTGCTGCGGATTCTTGTACTGAATGATTGGGATTTGGTAAATTATGAGGTCATTCAGTGGTGTAAAGGTTTCTTTCTGTTCCACAGCGCCCAGCAGGGCTGCTGTGAATCCCAGTGCTAGCAACAGCCCCATTTCATCTGTTCATAGGACATTTTCGAGTGAAAAATGAGTTAACAAGCCCGTCCTGCGCCTAAATTAGTGCATATACCCAGCGCCACTTTACTCCTGTACCGTAGAGTTTACACACACCAGAATACACGGCAAGCGTGCGTGTCATACCGCTGTGCCAGTCTACGTGTACATGTACGTGTACATGTACAATGTTGTCGCCAGTTTTTAATGACGAAAACACAGTTCGAAATCGAATTTACCCTGCTTAATGTGATAATGAATTCACGGAAAGCAGACATACCTGTCCCAGCCGGCTGCTCGCCCAGCAAGCACCTACCTCCAAGTCTTCCCATCCCTCCAGTCTCGTACTCTGGCTTCCATGACTATGCAGCCAATACAAAAATAAACACAGAAAACCCAGGAACATTGACTTGAATAAATTGAGAGAATAAAGCATGGGAAACGATTGTACACAGCCACGAAAACCGCCTGAGCGCTGCGTGCTGCGTGAGAGTTTTTTCGGGGGGGGGGGTGTCCGGGAGTCCGTCGCTTATGATTAAGACAAATCCCCGGAACACGTAAAATATTTCCAAAACCATGAACACACTCTCCGGCAAAGTGTAGGGCGTGCAGGCTTACTTCAAGGCGAAATGTTAAATTCAAACCAGTAAAGCTATTCCGGTGGGTCCCTTTCTGCTGATAGCAGAGAGAATTGCATAGCTATACTGGGGCAAGGAACGGACATGACTTGGCCCTATGAGGGCTGGGGGTATTATAATTGATAGCCGGGCTCCGCTACCGAAAACAACATATACGAGAATAGAAGAGGGTACCATTATTCAAGCTGTCACATCTAGATAGGGTTTTTGTGCTGTCGATTCCGAGATGAGGTGGCAGAAAATGTTCAGTCACCGATGCAAAAAAAGTCTGTCACTCTGTCGCGGTGTCGTTTTTACGGGAAAGAAGTGTTCTGCCGCACCGAGTTCCTGTGAAATTATAAAATCAGCAGAAAATCTCGCGTGTGGGCGGTCTATTTGGGGCAACCTAAAGAAAGGGTTTGGCTGAGGGGACAGATGCAAGAGGGATCTGAATGTGTTTAAAATACGAGAGGGCCCTCTGTCCCGGATTACTGCAGTTGGGACGGATTCAATATATGTGGAGATTGACCGATGATTTTGAGGTATTAATCTGCTATTTAGCTACCCCAAAACGATGATATTTCGGTCTTAAAGAGAGTATAATACGATAGCATGAAACAAAGAAGGGAGAGCTTAATGACATGGTTGCTGGGAACAGCAGATATTCAAAGCTAGTTTTGAGTGCAAAATGCCTGAACTAGAAAGTACGGAATCACCGAAGAAAGTGTGTGGCACAGTTGGAAGGGACGTGCTGAACTACTCTGTTGTGAAAACCTGACGTCACGCAGAAGGTGTACGAATACCTGGGGAATCATCAGCTCGACGACAAACATTTCAGTACTCAAATTGTGTGGAATGAATTTGCCGAGGCAAATCTTGAAAAAAATCACTAAGTGGGAACTTGAAGAGAGTGTGCATAGAAAAGTTATTATACGGCATTTGAAAATAATCGATAAAAGCTACCGCCAGAACTCTTGAGAGGCACCGCACGATTTCGTTTGAAAACGGCGCAAGCTTTTTACAGCAAGAGACATGAATCCTTCGAGCAGGCAAGAAGAAACAAAAATCGTTGTTTGGCGAAAGCAATGTGTTTTCTCTGAAGGAGAAACAGTACACAGGGGCGTCTTGTAGAAAAATTCGCCTCCCGGTGTTGGCAACTGGGGGTACCATACTGATCAGCATGTTCTAGTGCAGCATCGCGACATTTTACAACGTCCTACCGTAGCTCAGAAATTCCTGTTAAGCGGCTTGGCTTATTGGATGGCGTTTATCGAGATTAACCTATTACAGAGGAGGAAAAGGGAAGGCCTTATAATACGTTGTTCAAAACTATTCGCTACAAATGACGGAGGGGTGCCCCTTCTATTTGGGCTCGGATCTTGATTTATTTTTTTTTTCGTTCTTATATACGATCTGAACTCTGATTATAGAAGCAGTGACGGTTTTCTGATTCAAGTTGTCTCAGAGTTTGCACGGTAAAACAGGTCTGCTAAAAATGTTGACAAGCTTGAATTCCCGGTTAAATTTGCCCAGTATTTGAATCAGTCCCTTTACCCACAGACTGCCCGAGATTTGACGTTTGAACTGTGTCTTGGGTACAATTTCATCCGGTGGGAATAAGTAGTAACAATTTGTATTAATTTTTCACCCTAGACCTGTCTCCTCCGGCTCAATCCGAGCCCCTTTCGGACACCCCTCCCCCTTCCACGTACCACCCATTTTGGGGAGGGGGTTCTTAGCGGCAGAGCCAAACAGTCATGGTACAGGAACGAGATGATTTTTAAAAATTGGCGAACGCGTTGGAGTTGAAATCGACACGGATACGTGCCAGTGTCAACAGTTTTTTAAGGCATTAAATTCAAGTACATAGGATAATGTTAGTCTTAAATGAAAGTGTATATTTCTCTATTCCCAAAGGTAAATTTTAGAAGTAAGATTTATGGTTCGGTTGTATCAACCAGATATGGCGCGATAAAGTATAAGTCGCTGTCAAGGTTTATGTGACCGAGTATCCTGTGCCCGGCTGAAGTAAAGTAATTCGGCCGCTGTATCCCTCTTCCATTCTATCAGTTTCCATACTTCAAAGTGATCCAAATGAATCATATTTAGTCTTCAGAAATTAAGATGTTGTAGTTGTGGGCAATAAATCGTGTGTTCATGTTTACTTGAGTGTCATTCCTGGTATCATTTTCCAGTTAATTGCCTGTAATTCTTCAGCCAGGTTTTTGAGCGGAAGGTCACATAACGGACGGGATTAATTATGGATTATGTGTCATGATTGATGAGCGTACATTACGCCAAGTAAGAGCAAATTCTTAAGATAATACTCTCGCAGATATTGTTCCTGTCAATCATTAAATCTTGTCCGTTTTTCATTTTCTTCCACAGCAGCCACTGTTAACGGCAAGCGAGATCCTCTTCACCTCTTCAACCGGCAACCGCCCCGGAAGAAGCGCAAGTCGCGCACGGCCTTCAACAACCAGCAGATCTTCGAGCTGGAGCGGCGGTTCCTCTATCAGAAGTACCTGACGCCGGCCGACCGGGACGAGATCGCCTCGGTGCTGGGGCTGACCAACGCCCAGGTCATCACCTGGTTTCAGAACCGGCGGGCCAAACTCAAGCGGGACATGGAGGAGCTGACCATGGACGTGACGGTCACGTCCAAGAAGTGCGCCGAACTGAACCTGACCGCCGAGGAGTCGACCGGGCCGACGTCAGCGTCCGCCGCTCCCACGGTGCCGCCGGCCCGGCTGAAGGAGGAAGAAGGAGGAGACGAGGACGATGATGACGAGGACCGGTTGAGCACTGCCTCGGAGCAACAGCAGTGCCGGGAGCAGTACAGTCTCAGGCTGGCCTCGGCGGATGACAACTCCCAGCGCCGTCACCACGATCACCGCCATCACCCCCATCAGCACCACCTTCAATTGAACCTGAACACGGATGAGCAGGCCACGCCCAGCAGCAGTGGCTCGGAGCCCAGCGATTGCAGTGAGGGCAACGCACCAGGGAATGCCGAGGCGGGTTCCACAGGCGACAGCATTAGTGGACACGGGATGGACGCCGCCTCCTGCATGGTATCCAACGCCGTAGCCGAGACGGACGGAGAGGAGGAAGAAAGCATGGACTGTAGCACCTCCCCTTCTAGTAGTTTCCACTCTGAAAGCGAGGAGAAGTGACTTCCTTCACCTACCAGACACGTGGTTCAACATTTCAACATTCTGCAGCCATCTTGGATTGATATCAGAAAGACGATGCCCTTGGAAAGTTCACAGACAATCCTTAGCGGTTGCACCCTTGCCGTTTAGTTTCAAATTTCTTGACTTCTTGTAACGGCAGATGTCTGGACTAGGAAACAAGAAAGAAATGTCTATCACTTCTCCAGAATTTTATCTTTGTACAAAGAGTTGTAAAATGTCAGTGCCTTAGGAGTTCCCGCGAGGAAAGCTGTACATGATTGGGTCAAACCTGTTGAAGGTCTTCATACTTCACGAGGGCTTATGAAATAGCTACCGGTCAAAGTTACACGATTAATGTAAATACATGTAATTAAATTAAAGCGAAAGCACGATGGCTAAAAATCAGCTTGTAGATACAATGTAAATGCAAACTGCACAGCAACTAAAATATCGCGAATCCTGCGACCGCTTATCATCGGTCAACTCGGGCTGAGTATCTATTAACCTCGTCAGAAATCTGACGAGTATTCATGTTGTTTAATAAGAACAGCCAAAAAGAGTGACATGTCGCTCACTGTTAGACCAGATCAATGGGGGCTAATTAATGACATAAGGGGAAACGTCATAAAGTGCCTTAAAATTGATCAATAATTGATGAACATTACAGTTTGAAATCCCTGACCCTTTTGATTTCATATCTTTAGTTCCTTTTATGTTTTGATGCTAAGCGTCAACAGACTTGGGTCTAAAATCGATATAAGAAAACACCATCCCTCGTATTAGGGATGACGAAAGAACATTAAAATTGAATTTGAAAAATGGTTTTGTAAAATGTTCCAATGAAGACTTCTCTGATAAATACTCACGCGTGAGGAGGAAATCGTTTTATATTGTGGCATTCAAACGAAATGATCAGATAAGCTTCCGTTTGGGTCTCTGGGGTCTGTTGCAAAAAAAAAAAAAAACAGTCTGGATTCTACTTGTGGATATTTTTCCTTATGGGCAGGTGTGGCCGTATGAGGGAAGTATTCTACATTTCATTATTTCCTTCGAAGTTCCGGAAATTGAATTACTGTTTTGATCAAAATAGGTTTTTTTTATCCAAATACTCTGAGTTAGCATATAAAGAACCGTTGCCCGTGAATTCTGATGGAATTACCCTGCCATTGCTTTCGATTTTTGAAGGTAGCATTTTGTAACAAAAAGAGCGAAGGAATAGGGTTTGCACAAAGTGTTTGCAAATTCACTTGTTTCTTTCTTGCTCGCTTTGACAAAATAAGGCTCAGGCTAGTATTAAGTACAATTCCTTTTCTAGTATAGTAAGATTCAACCACCTGAATCGGGCACATTTGGGGGACTCTTAAACCCCCCCCCCAAAAAAACCGATCCTGGAACATGTCTTGAGACAGTGGCTGCGAAACAAATGGCTTAATGCACTGTGTTTCCGACAAAATCTGCACAGTGTATCCCCGCAATAGATTTTGCCCGTGGGGGGAAAACGAAAAAAAAGGGGATCCCCATTGGCTTAACGAACAACAGGTATATATAGAAAGTGACATATCGGAAATGGGAAAAACCTGCAAGACATTACGGAGATTGATCACTGGTGCACTAGCTAGAAGTATGTGACCGTGTATCTGTCTGTTTTGTGGGGGAGACGGGGGGCTATGTCACTGGAGGGGGTTTGAAGAGGAGTTGTGTATACTGTTAGGGCCCCTCAAGTTAACGGTGTACGCAGATGCGTAGTTTTGCGGAGTCTGTCAAAATTCGACAGTCAGGGCCTGCTATCACTATTTGTAACCACCCCCCTCCAGCCGGAAGAAAATTGCACTGGGGAGAACCGAAATACTTCTCGAAGAAAGAAAAGGGAAGCAGCGACACAGAAGCAGAGCGGGTCCCTTTTGGGGGGTGTATATGTACTTCATCTCAGTTGACATTCTGCTTAGTGTACAAGAAGGCCTTGTGTTGTATTTTTTTTTCTGTTGAAAGACTGATGTCTTTTGTCTGTACTCAAAGCAAATGACTCTAACATGGGTTTTTTGGCTCGGTCACCGGGGACTTGTGATGGCTTACGACCGGCAAGTGTGGCTGTCGTAATTTCTTGTACCGGCTGACGGTGGAAAAATGTTTAATTCCCACCACATGTACACGAAGTGGAGGTAATTTTGTCAATAGAGGTCACATTTTTCATTTTGCTCCATGAAAAAAGAAACAAAAAGAATAATTTCTTTTGCATCTCACTGAATGCTTGGGAACCAAAGACAATAAAAAAAATTGATTTTTACCATATCATGAGGTTGCTGTTCAATGACATTTTCATGCAGAGGGGAAAAGATGAATTAATAAATAAAACTCAAATATGATGGATGCGAAAAGTAGTCTGGTGCTTGCTGAAAGGTTTCTGGTGACTGCTTTGCCCATTTACCCTCCACCTCCGCTGTGTTCCAAACTTACCCGATGAACAGTAATAGTGGTTATAATCAACGTGTTCCATCCTTTTCGGCCCGTTCCTCAAACTTCTATGGCTATTGTTTTTGTTAGAATCATAGTATGTCTGTTTCGTGTACATACTCTCCTTTTAATTTTAGCGATTTTCATAAGAAATTGTGGGGGAGTAGCCGGTCAGCCAAAGGTGAACTCGCATCAACACTCCACATTAAGGGGACTTGGAAATCTAACACAAGCAGAGAAATCATCAATCAGTTGTCCCAGCTTTTTTTTGACGGTCACATTTTCATCTTGGTATGTCACTTTGCGCCGTGTCGCCGAAACCGATCGTTTTATTTATGCACCACGCTGAGTGTTACATAGCTGCGTTTTGTGACATGACGCACACACGGCCCACAGTTCAAGTGGACGTTTTTGCCAATCAAGAGTGCCACTGACGGGTGCGTCGCTCGTAACATGGGGGAGACCACTGTGCCGCCGAGCTTCGTGTAAAAGCCAGAAACAACGTCCATTGGCTGCTTTGTATAATAACGTGCCGAATGACACACTTTAGACGCTACACTCTTGCAAGACATGAACTATAGCGACGCCCTGATGCACGTTTATCAGCGACACATTTCCACTCTTGCTAATATTTTCACAAGTCATACCGAATGAGCAGAATCTCGCAAAAAATAGTTGGGAAGTAACACTGCATAACCAACCTGACCATGTTATCAAAGCTGCGTCCCTGAATGCGTTATTAAAAGTTCACTTCTTTTTACTTCGTAAGTGTATTTGTCGCTGTTGCTGATTTTATTGTGCAATTTTTATTTGCTGTTTCATCTTACGTCTCCCTTTTAAGTTTAACTTCTCTCATTTGACGTCTCTTCTGAGCATGTGACAGTCCAGTGACACTTTATTTAGTCCTTAATTTTATTATCAAGGGGTTTTATGATGTCGATTGTATCAATGCACCGATATTCTGATCCTCATTTTATTCTCACTATAATAATTTGTTCCATTTTCATCTGATTTTCAGTTTAATCATTTAATTATATCCGGGAAGTGGTTCAAGGTAGACTGTACGATCTTTTCCAAAACCTTTGACATTGTCAGAAATTTATTAATAACAAAAATAATGACTTCTTATCCAAGGGCAGGCGCTTTCTGTTTTCGAGTGAATAGAGATTAGAGGACAGTATTTTAGCGTTTCTTTATTTCGGTTTTTGTGAGGATTGTTCCTTTTTGTGAGACACAGGAATGGTTGTCTGAGTTCAAATCAAACACTTAAGCAAATGACCGAAATGGTACGCATGCGTGGAGAACTTCGCCCATTGCTGAATTCCTAACCCAGGCTACTCACAAGCCCATCAAATTTTTCTTTGGATTAGAATTTAATCAACAGAGAGCCAAGTTTTAGCCTGTATCTCTAAACGCCTCGTTGTTTATGTTTTATATTTATTAAATAGTTTATGTAATTTATTTCAACAGCCCTAACTGTGGTTAAACATAAGCAAGCAATAAAAGGCATGTGCGATGTCTTCATCGCACTAACAGCGACTGCAAGGTTATTTCAATAGCGCCTCCAACGATTGATTTTGACGATGAGACAATCTCGGGTTGGTACAGTAGTGTTTTGCCAACTTTGGCCCTACATCCAGACACGCAGATCATCTGGTTCAATATCTCTATATTTTATGTCTCTGTGTTGAAAATTATCTGGCTTCCAATTCAGATTTGGCAATATGTTTTCAGCCTTTTTCTGAGTACAAAATAAATCCTGTTTGTTTCAAAGGGATTTGGTGTAATGTGCATATGCCTTTTAGATTTTCAGTAGCAAATTCATTGTTTTTTATTTTGCTGTAATTTTCTCATGCACGCCTTAGTATACTACAAATTTGGAGCTGTTTCCTGACGACAAAATGCGTTGCCACCGATTTATGAAAGTCATGGATTATTTTGGAAGTATTGCTGGGGTTCAGACGAGATGGCGCCTACTATAAGGAGGCAGTAACCGCCCCTTTCCCGGCGTCTCTTCTGTGGCCAAGCTGCACGGGCCAACTTTGAGGGGTGCACTGGGTGCCCTATAATTTTTTGAAAAGGGGGCGCCCAATGGATCATCTCGTGACAAACACATAACTCTGTAGCGTTGATGCCACAAATTATGAGTAGAGTGGGGGAAATACCTTGACCAGGGTCCGTTTCCTACCCCGTCTGTGGTCTACCTTTCAGTTAATAGGTCAAGACGCCCCCAAAAGGCGGATTCTCAGAGTCCTCCCTCCCACCACCGGCTGAGCCGCCTTCCAATTAACAGGTTCCAATTTGAGTAGGTCCCGAATTTCATGCTTCCAGCCCTAAGGATTCGTCTGAAACCCCAGGACATATATGTTGCTGGGCGTTTTATCATTGGCCCATTGCACAACGTTTCTCAAAAGGGCTTACAAACAGCAGGCCCATCAGAATCGGTGAAACGGAAACAGCAAAACTCTGGGGGCCAAACGCCCCGCTATCGCCGGCCCTTTCGCATTACACCGTTCTTGTCAAGGGGGGAAGCAGAACGCCTCTAGGGTGCAGACTGGGAAGTCTGATCATGTAGACCCTCTCTCAACCGCGCCTTGTACCTTCCTCGGGGGCCCTTGTCGGGCCCTGTACCACCTGTAACTTCTTAAAATCGATCAGTGTGGCGCTCCATGGCTGGTGCCCCCTTTAGTCTTATACCGTGTGGTTGAAGGGTCTGTCACGTTCAATCTCCGTACTTGCCGTAAGACAATATTTTTCATTTGATTGATAAACAAACACAATATATATGGCAGCATCGCACTCGACAATTTGAGGCCAAGTTAGGGACCAAAACTACTCTCAGCTCAAAAAGTCTTATAGAAAGGATCGTATCCAAAGCATTAGGCGCACGACTTCGCTGGCAGTTTATTTATAGTACTCTGTATTGCATGATTCGTTTCATAAGGGAAGTAAAAGTAAGGGACCATCGACTTACACAGGATCGAAAATTCACAGTAATGAAAACTTTTGACTTCCGGAGGGCCCCATTTAGTATAAATTAATATGATCTTAAGCATTTCTTCTAACTCTATGTCTCATTTAACCCTTGATTTTCAGTGTGCCATTATGCAGGGGCGTTTCGGTGTCTTCGGAGTTTTGTACTCATGCAAAATCCGTATTCACGATCATAATTTTTGAGGTAATTTTTTGCAGTCATAAATTTTTTCCGTTGGTTGGCTGTTTTAGTGCACGAAAGTGGGCCAGTGAGCAAAGCTTTCTTATTGCTATTACCAGGAACCAAACTTTGTCCTCACGGTTTCAACAAAAAGACCCTCAAATTAAATGGCATCGTCCAGCTAAAAAGACGTCACTTTAACAGTGCCTTCATTTGACAGAAAATGCATGAAATAATGTCTAACAGTTTGGAGAAGTTCAGTTTTCAATAAGATGAACCAAAAGGAACGTCATAAAGCAAAATTCTTGCCATGGCTGCTTTAGTCATGAGCAAAGGGGGAGAATGGGGCCGGGGGATTCCCCCTTAGCCAGACGCCAGAATTAAATACACTTGTATGCCGATCAATTCTTCAAATTCAAAGGCCCAGCTATGGACGAGACATGTCGCTGCATTAATGATGGAGAATACCGGCACACGTTCTGAGCACCATAATCCGGTGGCTGGATCTAAGAATGAAATCGAAAGCGAAAGACTGGAGGGTAGGGATAATTTTTTTTAGCCTGTTGTTTGGCCAGTCCGACGCTTCTTTGTACATATTTGGATGAGGATTGAGTGCTAATGAAAGCAAACTAAGCTCTATTCTTCAGAGATGACAACTCGGCACTTGTTTCATAAATACAAGTTGTCAACCGCGGCGTTAAAACCAAAAATGCTGTTGGCCGTATTGGAGCGAAACGCCTGCTTAATGCACCACCGTGGTACTGCGATCATCGTCTCCATTGCTTTGATATATACTTTGGTACAGGACCAACGGGGTCTGAGACATGCCAATGTTCAAATGCCTCTTCATCGTCGCGACAAAGGTACCCTAGACTTTATTTCTCGACTTGGGCTTCATTCTTATTACATGTATATTGGTATCGGCAACTTGCATCAAGATTTAGCCACAATTCTGTGAGGCGGGAGAAGGTGCCCACCTTGTAACATCAAAACCTATAAAATTATTGTAGTTTCGCAAATAGAGAATCGATTCCAATCGAGAGATTGTTCCGGCATCGACCGAGTGTTAAGGTTTTAAGTCAGTGATAGCCCCCGCCGCTACAACATGCAGCGACCAGCATCTCCTGCAATAAATATAAGACCTTATACAGTTCCGCCACTTCTCCATGTGGAGAAAAATCGATCCCAGTATGTCTCGCCGATTGAGTATCGACCACAGAGTTACCGTCCCCCTCCTGTCGTCACCACTTTTTGCACCAGTACACCCGCTTGAAAGCAGACTCCGTCAGCTTTTCGGAGTTTTTTTGTCTGGTAGAAATCACCTCTGAGAATGAGGGGTTCAACCACCGACTGAACGCGACAGGTCCCAGCTGAACAACGGTAGCAGCCGTCGGCTGACTTGCCCGCGGGACCCGACGGGCTTGGATGATGGATATGTCTACCTGTATAGTTGCATGATGCATGATGATGGGCCGTGGGGGGGGGTTCAGACAAAATAGTGAGAAGAAAATCTTCGCTTCGACAAGATGAAGAACCTGGAGCTTTGGGGGAAATCCACACCCTCCTGTGCATGAGGCTGTCAAAGCAAAGAATCCCCCCTCCCACTGTCCCCCACGCCCCTCCCCCTCTAAAGGCTACTCCTTTGTTCTGTTTGTCCGTGTGTCCAAGATAATTTCATCTAGCCTTACACAGGGCTGTCCGTGAATCTGTATTTTTTCGCACAGTACTGGAACATTAGCCAACAAATAGCCAAGGGTCGAATACAAAGATGAGTTGGAGAGACTTTCCTCGTTATCGGTATTTCTACCTCCTGCTAGGCTCCTACCTTCTGAGAGGAATGAAATACCTAAAATGCTTGAAAACTTTACGATAACTGTGTGTAGTTATTGCATCTTTTCAAGTTTTGATATGGCCTTTCATTTCGGATGTCATTCGAAATTGAGCCAGTAAGAGCAAAACCGTGTTACGATTTTTAAATTGAAAATTAATTTCAGAATACGTGGTTTTCTCAGTGGACCTCATTATTTTAAATATGCAAAAGAAATACCTACAAAAGTTTAGCAATTCCTATTGGTCGACGGCCTGTCACGTGGACGGTCTTAAATGGTTGACAGAGCAAGGGCTGACTGAATGTTTCCGACGGAATCACATGAAATTAAGATTTCTGCCTTCTTTCCTTCAAGAGTCTCAAGTTCACGCTACACTGGCTCGTCGGGTTCCGCGTCTCCTCACGCAGTACCTCGCCACACCCGCACCAGTACGACTATTCGCTAGAGGAACATAGGCATAATAATTATTATAACACAGCTAAAGGGGTCGTTGGAACAATTCTCGAACAAAATCCTCGGAAATTCAAAATATTTTAAAATTTGCTTCAACTTCCTGACTTTTGAAAGATATTTATGTGTGCCGAATCAGATATGTGCTTGGCCGATCTTGAACCGAAATCGTTCAAGACCGCCTCAGGAAAACGGACAACGATAATGTCTTTCGTCTTCGGCTTGGGTCATTAATTAGCATCTATTCGCTGAATTAAAAGCGGGCCGAGCACATACAATTCCCTTATTTAATCATAAAAAGAGAGAGGTAATTCTATTGTTTCAACTATAATTTTGTGGCTGGATGGAAATGTTCTAGCTGCTTCGGTTCACCCAGAAAGATGAACGTCTCTTCTTTTTTAAGAACGTCACCTTTTTTCACCTGCTGTTTGAGGCAATTCCCAGACGTTAATGAGGACTGATTGATTGCTTTCAAGATTCTCTCTCTCTCTCCCGGCCGGCCGGGCAGGTAGGCCAGCATGAATCAGTCGCGGCCGCCACAATGGCTCGTGCCTACGTCAGATTACGAAGCTAGACACAAGCACCGAACAGAACCGTCTTTGTGTTTCGGTGTTCCAATCGTCTGGCACTTGCCAGCCCGTTTCCCGCCCGAGTCCGGGTCCGACGCGCGAGAGCAGGAATTGGACCATAGGTCTGACCATGGTGCACGACTGCCTTCCCCCCCCCCTCAATCGCTATGAAAATGGTGCGCATTGTTGGTGGAGTCCCGCCGGCTCGCACTTCTAAACAAACACCCTTCTGTGTGAAGTTCACCTGCTCGGTGCGAGACAAACTACTGGTTGGTGTCTTTCTCTCAGTCTTCTGTCACAATCAACGTCAGCTCCTTGAACTTGTAACCGGTCGAGACGATCTGTTCTCGCCTTGTCTTTTATCCCCCACACCCTGGCGTAATTGACGCTGACTCGGGCACCGCGGCTTCCCCCGGTGCGCTGTGGGGCTGGGCTGGACAGACACCCATGTAGTCCTTTTTCATGGCGCTCGTCTGACGACCGACACCTCCGGTTGAACTTAGCAGTTTGCGTGCTATGCTGACCAGATAATCATCGTGTTATGAACTGATTAATCTGATAGGGCTCTTCTAAAGGGTCAGCCGAATGCCTGCGATATTTCCCAGCAAGGGTTACAGAAAGTGAGAGCTTATCAGATTCGAAAGTGTGAGATCGGTTCAGCGGTTGCCTTGGTAAAAACAAGTCAGAGGGGTAAAGCAGCTGTTTTGTGTCAAGTGTTGAGTAGGACATTAAAATTGTATACAATATCTTTACATTTTAATCCGCTTATTCACTT